CTTACTCAATGGACTAAACTTTTGGAAGAACTTAGCAGGTATTTTGGCTGTGACAGTCTAGGTGATGCTGGGTGATAAATAGCCCATGACTGTCAGCGGCTTACAATTAAAATGACTAGTGTTCACATTTTGCTCACGCCACCTGTCCAATGTAGACTGGTAAGGGATTTCAGAGTGACCCAGGGACTTGGGCTCACTAAGGCTCCCACGTGCATTCCTGGCCAGGCAAGAGAAGCAGAATGTGGCAAACCTCATGCTTGTTTCTGCCAGGAGGGGACATGTCGCCGACCACCATATCTCGCGAGCCAAAGCAAGTCACGCAGCTCACCTTTTTTTTTTTTTTAAACATTTTTACTGGAGTATAATTGCTTTACAATGGTGTGTTACTTTCTGCTTTATAACAAAGTGAATCAGCTATACACATACATATATCCCCATATCTCCTCACCCTGGCGTCTCCCTCCCACCCTCCCTATCCCACCCCTCTAGGTGGTCACAGAGCAACAAGCTGATCTCCCTGTGCTATGTGGCTGCTTCCCACTAGCTATCTGTTTTACATTTGGTAGTGTATATATGTCCATGCCTCTCTCTTACTTCGTCCCAGCTTACCCTTCCCCCTCCCCGTGTCCTCAAGTTTATTCCTGTCCTGCCCCTAGGTTCTTCATAACTTTTTTTTTTTTAGATTCCATATATATGAGTTAGCATATGGTATTTGTTTTTTGCTTTCTGACTTACTTCACTCTGTATGACAGACTCTAGGTCCATTCACCTCACTACAAATAATTTTGTTTCTTTTTATGGCTGAGGAATATTCCATTGTATATATGGGCCACATCTTCTTTATCCATTCATCTGTTGATGGACACTTAGGTTGCTTCCATGTCCTGGCTACTGTAAATAGAGCTGCAATGAACATTGTGGTACATGGCTCTTTTTGAATTATGGTTTCTCAGGGTATATGCCCACTAGTGGGATTGCGGGGTCGTATGGTAGTTCTATTTTTACTTTTTTAAGGAACCTCCATACTGTTCTCCATAGTGGCTGAACCAATTCACATTCCCATCACCAGTGCAAGAGGGTTCCCTTTCCTCCACACCCTCTCCAGCGTTTATTGTTTGTAGATTTTTTGATGATGGCCATTCTGACCAGTGTGAGGTGATATCTCATTGTAGTTTTGATTTGCATTTCTCTAACGATTAGTGATGTTGAGCATTCTTTCATGTGTTTGTTGGCAATCTGTATATCTTCTTTGGAGAAATGTCTATTTAGGTCTTCTGCCCATTTTTGGATTGGGTTGTTTGTTTTTTTGATATTGAGCTACATGAGCTGCTTGTAAATTTTGGAGATTAATCCTTTGTCAGTTGCTTCATTTGCAAATATTTTCTCCCCTTCTAAGGGTTGTCTTTTCGTCTTATAATGTTTTCCTTAACTTGAAAGGAGTAGAAAGTTCGGTCCTCCCTGTGCCAGAAGGACCTGAGAACCACACTGTGGGGAACAGCATTAATTACTTCCAGGGGGAGGTCAAGCAGAGAGCCATGTCCCTTACAGCCTCCATTTCCCTCATGGCTCCAGCTGGGATAACTTACCATGCGTTACCATTTTTCTTTTTCTCCAAGCACTGAAAATTTCAACTTGAAAGATACTGATAAAATTTTTACTTGAAATGGCCTGTGAAAAACCAGCACAGTCCCCAGGGACAAAATTCTCATCATGCTTTTCCTCAAATACATCAGCGGTTCCGAGTCTGTCATGATTTTGTGGGCTGGAAATGCTGTGTGTTTACTTTTGTATAAAAATCCTGTCTTCCTTGGATTAGAGAAGAGAGATGATGGGCACAAGAGGCAGACTCCAGAATGTTTTGGGTTCAGCTCAAGTGCCCCACCCTTGCCCCAGGCTTTCTCTGACCACCTTCTCTCCAGTTGGAAGCCATTTCTGACTTTCGTGAGCCTCCACTTTTCCTGCACTCCCCCATCCCAGGACCTGTCATGGTCCCTCATTGTATTATCAATGTTTGTATAAATGTCTAACTTCCCCAATTAGGCTGTGAGCTCTTTGAGAGCTGGAATCTGATTGGCTCCATCTAGGACTTTCCGCCTGCGCAAGTGGCATTTATTAAGTATTTCTGAATGGCTCAATGGATGTACGAATCTCATCTTAGGGCCTTTTCTGCAGGAGATTCTCAGTGTCATCTGAATGAAATGGTGACTGGATGGATAAATGGATGGGTGGACAAATTAAAGAATAAAAGATTGAATATGTATAGAGGCTAGTTAACATCTCATAGGGGAAATAAGCCTATTCCCCCCACATGGCTGTGCTAATTCTGACCAGCCAACACATAAATGTAGATTCTTGGAACAGAAGGGACAAATGGGAGTGGGGTGACTCAGGGAAACCTCTTGCCACCCTGAAAACGGAGGCCAGGCCCTGCTGTGGCAGCAGCGTCCCCTGTACATGACTGGGCTTTGGTCATGGCTTAGTCCTCAGGTGCCAGGGGCAGGCTTTCTGGACACAGGGGCAGAGGGCGTGGCTCTTCCTGTCTGAGCATTTCTGTGGCCCAGACTGAGTTTGGGGGAAGGAGGGACAGGCCAGTGGAGCCTCTAGGGGTTCCTGCCGGCGAGACTGCTGTGACGTGGCTCTGCTGTCCACATTAAATGTTTTTGAGGCTGATGCAGGGGATCTCTGCAGGCCCCCAGAGCCCACAAGAGGTCAGTAGGTCGAGGCAGCAGGGGCAGAGGGACAGCCCCAGAGAAAGTGTCCCTCATCTGTCCCCTCACCTGTGGGAAGGAGCCTCAAGCACCATCTCCTCTTTCTCAGCAGATGGCAACACGAACTCCCGTGCCTCCCAGATCTCTCCGGGGTGGAGTCTTGTGGAAGGGAGGCGAGACAGGCAGGGCGAGGAAGGGCAGGAAGGTGGCACATGTGTCCACGAGGCGGTGGGGTGAGGGGACAGACACCCCCTTTTATCTAAAATAAAGACAGAAACCTCCCCTCCCTCTGCTGTCTCCTTCCCATTTCTCCTTCGGCTCAAGTAAAGGCATAGAGGTGAGAAATGGTCCCTTTGCCGGGCTTGGCCCTTGAGTTAGAGGTTAGACCTCTCTGCCTTGGTTTTCCTCTGGTGTTCATTTCATGAGAAAGAGAAATGTACGGATGCAGAAGGAACCCCAGGAGTTGGGGACCATCTTCCCTCCAGAGTGTCAGCGTGGTTCCACCAGGGCAACGGGCCTGGAGAGGCACCAGGCCAACGGGATGCTACTTGTGGATGTTGGCTATGGGCGGCCCCGATCCTCTGCCATAGATGCCCGAGTAAGAGTCCAGCTCCTCTCCTCAGCCTCCCATGGAATGATGCTCTGTGGCCAAGCATGTACCAAAGGATAAATGTGCTATATTAACATGAACACTAATGACAAATGCACTGCAGTAGTAAGCACATCGTAGATACACGGAATATTCTCTATATAGTCTGAACATAGATACAAAATAAGTTATACTTGTTTTTGTTTTCCATCACAGTAGGAGCATGGCATACAAAGTGACTGAGTCAGTGGCCGCAAAGCAAGCCAAGGGAGAGACCATGAGGGAGACTGTAGGGCACCGAGAACAGTGGGGGTTTGCCAAGGACACCGCAGACTCCGGGGGGTCCTGCAGGGAACATGACTTTAGACCTCTCAAACTGGCCTTCAGAGAATCAGCAGGAGGTCCCACTGGATGAGAGTTGGTGGCTGCATTTGAGCTGGGATGATTCAGGCTACTGGGTGGGAAGCAGAGCAGAGACAGAGGCAAACAGCACCCAACAGGCCAGCCCACTCTCCCGATGGTGCTGTTGGGCTTCTGCGATTTTAGGAACATGGGGAGCATTGCCGGAAGGCACGGTTTTCTTCTGTGCTGCGACAGGTGCCAGACTGATGGCCCACCAAATGCTGGCTGGCCCTTCTCCCTCGCCAGCCCGCTCTGGGAGGCCATGAGGGGGCTGTGTGCTCAGCTTATCTGCCGTGGTTTGTCATCAGCCAGAAACGCTGGGATCCCACACATCATCACAGCAGAGGGCAGAGTCTGTCACCCTCACCCTATCACATGTGAGTTCTGTGACCCTGGGAGGGTCACCTGAACTCCTGAGTCTCAGGCTCCTCTCTGCAGATTGGAGGGACTAACACATACTTCCTCGGAGCGTGGTGAGGACCACATGGGATAATGTATATAAAGTGCCTAACACAGCTCCTGGCACTCAGAAGAGGCTGGATAAATGTGAGTCAAGTACAAGCATCCAAACATAGAGGCCAGGTGGGAAAAAATATGAATCTCACAGAATCTGTGGAATAAAAACCACCTTGACTGGCTATGAGAGCAGAGGGTGACAGAACAGTTTCTTTGCTTTCTTTCCTGCCAAGTTTTCCCCTTGTCTCTCTGGTTCTGGGATTCTTTGAAGTGAAGTGCAAGCAGGTTTCAAAGCCAGGTCTACCAAGGCAGTCAGAGCCTAAGCCTGGGAGAGAACAGGGCTCGGGGCCACGTGTCTTCAAGTCTGGGGCTTGGTTCGCTGAGGACGCTTCCCTCCAGCTCCCCTCCCCTCCCATCTCCTGGCCCCAGAGCAGACTTCATGTGAGGAAGCCAAAGAGGGGGGAGAAAGCACAGAAAAAAAGTGGATTGTCTATTAAGTGAAAAGCCTTTTCCATATGCTCTGAGTCCGGGGAATCTGGAGGTAGGTGGGCCATCTGTGGGTGAGTGAACTGCCCCCTCTGTGGGAGAAGGCGGGTCTCTGGGCAGTGGAATAGGGGAGGGAAAGACGG